CCATTTAACTTTAAATCTTCATTGGGCACAAATTAAAGACTTGTAGTAGATATTATTTAAGCCATGTAACACTGAATAAGTTATATGCTCTTAGTTCTTGGAAGTATAATGAGTTAATGATAATTGTGAATAAATTCAAATACATTTAAGATATAGGAAGTACTCAATAAAAATGATAAATGGAGCTATTAGTTATAAAGAAAATCTTACTAGCCATTTGAAGTTTTCATCTCTTGGAAGGCTAATATTTGCAGTGCATGTCAAGAAATTATAACATTCAAAAAAAATCTCAAAAAGTAGAAATATAAATGAAAATATACAAGTGATAATTTTCAAAATAGACTTTAAAATGTGTAAATAAGCTGGAGGAATAATTATTATTTCCAAAGAAAAATTCACCTAGGTTTTATTTGACTATCTTAGAAGTAGAAATTTAATATAAGTCTATAAATATTTAGATTTGATAACCATAATGATCTTGTACAAAAGAAAAAAGTGATAAAGGTTTAAAATTAAATAATTTGTCTAAAATTAATTTACTCCAGAGAAGAAATTGAGTAACATTTCCACTCATGCACGGAATTATTTTTTAGTAATCCTGTTTTGACTGTCTGTTATGTGATAGGTACTTAGTAGAGAGATGGAGAATGTGCCCCATCTGTCAAGGAGTTCATGATCGAACAAATGACTGTGATGTGAAAGAACTATTATTTTAACCTTGGAAAAAGTCTGCCTTTAATTTTTTGATCGTGAAGTCAGTCTAAATGAATTCCCATTGGATTTTTTTTGTTCATTTTTTGAAGATTTATTTATTCATACAAGAACTGGGGTATAGGCCAGAGGTGTGGGGGTGAAAGGATTCACCAGAGACAGAGCGGGGAACAGAACAGGCAGATCTACTGAAATATACTGCTGAGGGGAGCAGCGGGTGAGCCAGGAGAGGTCTGCTGCACCATGTGGGTCACCTCCCTGGCCAGGGATGGAACTTGTTCTTCAGTGGCTGCACATAGCTACATAGTGCTGGATCTTAACCACTTGTGCCACCAGGGAGGCCCCTGGATTTCTTTTGGATGGTAAAAATCATAATGAGCAATGAAAGCATTATTTTGAGGGTAGATAAACCAATTTAGTACTTAATAATTCATCTCAAAAAGTGGCAATTAGTAGACTACTTTGTTATAATAATTCCATTATTCTTCTTTGATTCTTTTTACCGCCTGGAACACACCAATTACATGCAAGGAAATTGAAAATTTAGTAAAAAAAAAAAATCTGCCAAAAAAACAAAAGTCCATAAAGACACAGTTTCACTACTAGTAAATTATATGATGAAATAAATATCTTGTGATTTTATATGCATGATTGATATATATGATTATTTCCTTCTTTTTCTAGTTATCAACTTATATGTGGTAATACAATAAATTGTATGTTGTTATAATTGTCTCTTGCATTTAATTGCATAATTGCGTATGTAACCCCTGGAATAGGTTATCCAAAAGGATTTTCAATACATGACTTTGAAACCACACATAATCATAGTTAACTTCTATCACAGTGGAAGTTTTAACTTATTGTGTAGAAAGTAGGTATTTAACTGACCTCACTTCAATAATTTGGTGAATTTACCCAGCTGTAAAAACTATTTGAAGATGGTTTTAGATGTACTTTGGTTCAATAAAAGCCAATAATTGTTTTGCTTTTAATAATAAAACTGTTTCTTTTAAGTAGAATTTAACATGCTCATGAAACCTTATTCTCATCAATTATTCAGATATCAGTTAATCAAATATTTTAACTAGAATTTGCATGTATTGAGAATAAAAACAAAATACTGTTATTGAATCAAATGACCCAAATTATAGCAGATACACAATTATTATATAATGCATATATAAATCCTATATCCTCTATTATCTGCTGCTCAGAGGATCTATAGTTGTGTTCTTAGAGAGTAAACAAAGTGAATGTTTAAACATAGGCCATTCGGATTTTGGAAGAGTCCCAAGTGCAGCTTTCTGTATAATAACTTCAGCATTCTACAAAACCTATACTAAATCAAATTTACTGTTTATTTCTAATGAAATATTTCATGAAACATTTTCTTTATCACTTTCATTTCTCTTCTAGTTCATTATTTTCATATAGGAATGAAACAAACTTTTGCATATTGATTTTGTATCCTGCCTCTCTAGTGAGTTACTATTTCCAGTATTTTTTATGTGGAATTCTTAGGATTTTCTATGTGTTATTTTCATTGCAAATAGTGTTATTTGTCTTCAATTATTACCACTTATATATCTCTCTGTTGCCTAATTGCTCTAGCTAGGACTTCCTATACTGTGTTGTATAGGAGTGGTGAGAGTGAGTACCCTTGTCATATACCTGATCACAGTCAGTAAGTTGTCTCTTTGTTTTGATTAGTGTCTCTTTTGCTATATAGAAGCTTTATAGTTTGATGTAATCTCAGCTCTTTACCTTTTCCTTCATTTTCTTTGCTTTGGGGGATGTGTCTTTAAAGGTGTTACTGAGATGTGTGTCATATAGTGTTTTGCCTATATTTTCTATATATTATATTTTATGGTTTCAGGTCTTATGTCCAATTCTTTTATCCATTTATCCATTTTGAGTTAGTTTTTTGTGTGTGAGGTAGTAGTCTAGCTTCATTCTTTTGCAAGCACCCCAGTTTAGTTAGGGACTTATTTTTGAAAATTTACTTGAATTTGGTTTTCATAGCATTTTTCCTCTAAGAACTCAGTACTATATAGAATTACAGTTCTCAGGAAAAGTCTTTTATTTCCTATATTTTAATTAATTAATTTTTAACTGAGGTAGTACTGGGGTATCCCCATCAGGTATTACACTATAGTGCATTTATGCCAACTCACCCATATGCCACCACCATACACCATTGTGCTTCCTTTCCTTTTGTTCTTACTCTCCCTCCACCTCTAAGCCCCTTGGTGTTTCAGTCCTTGAAAGGATAATGAAATGTGACACAGTTTCACTACTAGTGAGTTATATGATGAAATAAATAATAAAAGATAATATACCAGAAAGATAAATACCAGATTGTATTACTAATGTGTGGACTTAATTAATAGAGAATGACACGCTAAAAAACTAACCCTTGATAGTGGACTACAGAAAACACATAGAAATTTCCTTTACAGTGTTCTAATTATTAAATATACAAATAACCTTCCCCCTCTTTTGGGGAAAAGTGAAATTTAATTATTAGCAAAAATAAATATTTCAAAAGTATTACCTCTGATAATTGTTGTTACTGTGAAAAACACTTAAACCTTCTGGTACTCTATAACACCTTTGAAAGTATTCCCGCTAAGGAAAACATTTGGTCTTGTCTTCCAAAACACAGCTATAAAGCTTTCATCTAATAAACTTCCCCAAAATTTCAGGCACTATGGCAACCCTAAATAACAAATGTGAATTCTAGATGAAAAAAGATGTAAGAATTATATAAAATAAAATATTTAAATAAAAAAATTAAGACTTAAAAAAATAAAAAAATAAAATGTATGCATAGAAAAAAAATGTGAATCCTATATTGTCTGTATGCTATTTCTTTCAATATAGTAGAATGTTTAGCTGCCATACATTCTTTTAGAACTAATAGAAACATTATTTGTATAGTTCCTTAGCAAGTCTGGTATTCTGATAAATAAAATACATGAAAAGTTATTAGTTACTAATTTATGAAGGCAGAAATTATTTGACTGAAACTAGATAATGCCTAGTTAAATAAATTTTGCTCTCATATTTTACTTTGTCCTTTAATTTTGGTCTTGACTTTCAAAGTAATGAAAATTGGTAACAGAACAATTACAAGTGAAAGGACATTATAATGATTTATATAAGAATAGGAGTCAAAGAAGTTCTGAATACTTACACTTTTTTGATAAATGTTTGGAAGTACATGCATATCATATACCATCTACCTCTCCTAAAATGTGGAAGTTTCGATACCATCTACCTCTCCTAAAATGAAGAATTTTCGGTACTTCTATTTGTTTACCATGTAAATCAGCATTCCCTTTCTCTTTGTTATCTGCTAATCATTTTCAGAATATATTAAAACTCATGGAGCATGTTTTTCTTATCTAGTACGTAAATGCCATGTTATAATATAAGCTTACAATTTTTTTCTTCATGTTTCATTTAAGATGAAATAAATATCTTCATGTAGATAAAAGTTTTTAATCATTCTTCAACTTTACCTTCGCCTGTTCTTGGAGTCCTTCTTGTGCCTATATTCCAATATGAGGTTTGTAATAAAATGGTAGCAGCAAATATGATGTCTTATGTGGGTCCCTTTGGTTGAAAGAAACATAACCCCACTCATACTAGCTTGAGCAAAGAAAAAAGTTGTGGTGGCAGGATACTCAGGAGGACCTGGTTCTAACCTCGGCAGAACAATTTCATCTCTTTCTCTAAAGGCATATGATCTCTTGTTTCTATTTATACTTCCTCTGTAGATGGCTATTTTATTCTTCATACTCTTTGCACATAGGCTTTTATATATTTCTCTGGGCATATAACAGAAATTGCCTTTTCATAATGCCTAAGATTACCTTCCTAATTTCAAACAACCAATATTAAAATTTTAGCTCTGAATTGTAACTCTAAATTCCCAGAAAAGAGTATCTGATTACAACAATTTGGGTTAAATGCCTGTCACCTACAATTAAGGGACTGAAAAGCATGGCAATAATGAAGTATTTAATAATAACCATTAGTTCAGAGGAAAGGAGAGGTATGACATGTGCCTATTATATCTGCCTTTATACTTAAATATTAATTCTGAAGTTTTATTTTGAATGAGGATTTCACTATGTCTTTCCCTTAAACACAAGTACAGATAACTAAGTGATGTCTTTCCCTCAATCAAAATCCCCAAATGTGCTGTGTTTCATGTCAAATGCACCTAAAAATTAAAGCTTTGTTTTATGATTTATTTTGCTTTGTAGCCAATGACTAGAACTAGTTCAAATGAACATATAGTCCCTGTTCAAGATGTGTCCTTTCCAAGTGAAATAATACCTGGAGTATTTGAATATTTTTCTTCAGAAAAGCTCAAAATTCCAAGGTAAGATATCTAGAAAATATCACTGATAAGCAATTCTCTGCAGATACAACCTTTACTTGGAATAGAATATACAAATAGTTTAATTTTATATTTCTCTACATTTTTAACATGACATGTTAAATTCCCAAAACGATGATACATTGACTGGATGGAAACAAGAAAATGGTACATTGCAAGGAAGTAGCCTCACCAAGAAATTACTTTCAGGTACATTGGACAATAGTTAATGTGAGAATAGCTGCAGGAAAAAATCTACCTACACTGATAGTCTTCCCATTTGTTCACAAGTAGGTTAGTGGTGTCTCTTGCTTTACTACAGTCTTAAAGAAAAAATATGTACTCTTTAGTATTTTCCTACAGAGGTGGTTGCTGACATTTGATGAATATTTTTATTCATGTTTGCATTTTCTTTAAGTAATGAAGGAGCAGTTACGATGTCACATGATGAAGGAAATAAATCTGAAACAGAATTATCTGATACAAAAGATTCTGAAACTTCAATTGATTCTTTGGACTATAAAAATCTTCATGATCTAACAATAATTGAAAGTGATAGCCCCCTGCTGGATTCTTGTTCTGAAAAATGTGTGATTGATTCTGACTCTGATAAAAGCATTAGTTTGGACTCTGACTTAGAACAACACTCAAAAGATTCTGACTCAATAATTTGGGGAATGGACTTGGACACAGCAAAATATCCATTAGACGCAGACTCTGTGAAGTGCTTGCTAGAAGCAGAAAAATACCAGATGGCTTCAGGCTGTGTGGAAGATCTGATGGAGTCAGAGCAACACCTAGTGGGAGCTGAACAATGTTTGATGGACATTAACTCTCTGAAACACTGGATGGACTCAGATTCAGAAAAATGCTTCACAGACTCTGATTTTGAAAAATATGTGATTGACTCTGACAATAAAAGACATGAGACAGATTCAGATTCAGAAAAATGCCTCATGGCTTCTGCACCGGTGGAACACCTGCTAAAAGCAGAAAAAGGCCAAATGGTTTCAGATTCCATAAAACTGATGGAATCTAAAAATACATTGATGGAGAGTGAACAATACTGGATGTTCTCTGCTTCTGAAAGGTATGTGATAGACTCAGGCTTGAGAAGTGATAAAATGGACTCAACTTCTGTATATGAGGTACATCTAATGGAAGAACAAAAACACCAGAAAACTAGATCTAAGAAATATATGATATATTCTGACTCTGAATCATGTGGGATGGACTTAGAAAGACATGAACTAGCCTCAGCTGCTGTGAAATGTCTCATGAATGCTAAAACATTGAACACCGATACTGAGGGGCGCTGGATGGATTCTTGGCCTGAAAATCATTCAATGGACTTGTATTCTGTAAGCCCAGGGATGGTCTCTGATCCTATGAAATATGAAATGATGACTGAAAATTGCCATAAGGGCTCTGAAAGGGAAAAATTCTGGATGGGCCTCAAATCTGAATCTGAAAGACAGCAATTTGATTTTGACTGCGGTAGATGCTGGAATAGTTCTAGGAGACATCAATATAGGTCTGAAAAATCTCAGGGTAGCTCTGGAAGATGTCAGGATAACTTTCAAAAGAAATGGGATAACTTTGAAAGATACCAGGTTTACTCTTATTCTAAAAATCATCAAGCAAGTACTGAAAATGAAAGATATAAGTTTGAAAGTGAAAGACACACGATGGAGAGGGAACAGTGTCTGATACAGTTTGAAAATGAGAGACATCAACTAGATGAAGGGAGAGAAAGATATCAATTGGAGTCTGATAGCAAAGAAAAACACAAGATTGCATCTGACAATGAGAAACAGCACCTTCACTCAAAACATGAAGCACAACGGCTTGGTGCTCGTAGAAAAGACAATCGCCCTCAAGGTAAGGTAAATGTTGTGTGGTTTTTGAAAGCAACTTGTTTCTCATGTCTCATTAATAACATAACACTTCCAAAATGTCAGTAGCTTTCGCAGATTTGGTCCTGAGATCATTTTATGAGAAATTTAGAAAAAAATGTATCTTAATCCCAATTCATTTTTTCAATATTAAAGGTATTTATTTATTTTTAATTGAGTTAATATTTGGATACCACCATCATGTATCGTCACTATAGAGAACCAACCACCAAATCACCCATAGGTCACAACATTAGTCCATTGAGTGGATCAAGATGTGGTATATATACACAATGGAATATTACTCAGCAATCCAAAAAGATAAACTCGATTAATTTTATTTAAATCGAATCAACATTAGTTTGCAATGCTATTATTTAGAAATATAGGATGACATCCTTCGTCATCAAGTATGTTACCACACCACAACCACCATCAAGGCACACATAGTCCTCCACCATAGTCCATTGTGCTCCCTCCATACTTCTGGTAGCCTCAGTTCTACAGTCAAATCTCTTCTATGGTTTTCGGACCTTTTTTTTAAGATCTATTTATTTATACAAGCATTGGGTACAGTCAGAAGTGCGGGAGGGTGAGAGAATTCACCAGAGCCAGAGTGGAGAGCAGAGCAGGCGGAAGGACCGAAGTACACTGCTGAGGGGAGCAGCGGGTGGCAGGAGAGGTCTGCGCACCATGTGGGACCCTCCTCTGGTGGCCGGGGAGCAGCTGGGTATCCAACCGGCGCTGCAGAGGCTGCGGGCAGCTTCGCAACCCAGCACTCAACCGCTGCGCCACCGGGGAGGCCCAGTTTTTGGATTTTTTGTAATTTTAATTAATTTATTTGAGGTAACTGGTTTGCATCCTGTATATGATTCAGAATAACAGATTCACACCTCCTCAGATGTATATCACCATACCCCATCCACACCAGAACACCATTATCCCTTTATTATATACAATTGACCACACCCCAAAATTTTGTTCCCATACCTCTGCTCCCCCTCTACTGGCCTCAAATCTAAAATCATTTCTAGACTGTTTGGTTTAGTTGTGTCAATTCCTCTGTTTTGTTTCTCTGTATTCCCCACATGAGTGAAATCATATGGTATTTGTCTTTCTCCCCCCTGTCTCTTCACTTAGCATAATCCCCTCCAATTACTTCCATGCTGTTGCAAATGCCATTAGTTCAACTTTTTACATAGTGATATAGTATTCCATTGTGTATATATGTCTACCACATCTTAATCCACTTATATGCCATGTACATTTAGGTTGTTTTCATAACTTGGCTATTGTAAATGGTACTTAAATGAACATAGGAGTGTATATAGCTCTTAGAATTAGTGTTTTTGCATCCTTTGGATAAATGCTTGGCTTGGAGGGGAATTACTGGATCATATGGTATATCTATTTTTAATGTTTTGAGAAAACGCCATAATATTTTCCATAGGGTCTAGACCAGTCTGCATCCCCACCAACAATGCACAAAATGCATAAGGGATCCTTTTTCTCCATACCCTGATCAATATTTGTGTGTTTTTATTCCAATATCATGTTGACTTCGTTACTGTGACCTTATAGTTTACTTTGAAGTCTGGAAGTGTGATACCTCCATTCCCTTTCTTTTTGTCAAAATTGTTTGGCTACTCACGGTAATTTGGGGTTCCATATAAATTACAGGCACATGTATTGATTCAGTAGTACCAATTCACTAGCACTAATTTATTAATACTAATTAGTTTTACATATACAAATTCATTTTGCGTGTGTGTATTCCTTGCACAAGTTTATTTTCACATACTTACTAATGAACCATGCAGAATCATAAAAATGAAAGAAAAATCATTTCCTAATAAAAAGTGTGCAAATAGTAGTGATGTTTTCAGAATATATCTAGTTTCTAGTGATATTAATACACTATATGTGTACCATCTCATATGCAGTTCCTTATAGACTCGGTATGGTTCTCCAGTGTCTCCTCTTGGAGTTGAACCTGATTTTATTACCAATTTTCATCCGAATCCACTGGGAGTGGGAAAATTCTACTTTTGTTTCTTGCCCAGGAATCAGTTAACCCTGAAAGACCATGATGAGGGTCAGTTGCACACATTTCAATGGTGGAGAAAATGAGAGAAAGGCATTTTACTTTATAAATCAGCTTTTTACTTTATCACATTTGTTAATATATGCTTTGCTAATTCTTTCTAAACTCACAACAACCCTAAAAGGTGGGTACTATTATCTCCATTTTACCAATGAAGAAACTGAAACCCAAATAAGTTATGGAATGAAACAAGGAAACATAAGAAATGATTCAGGATGTGAACTCATGCCCTAAAGTCTGTGCTGTTAAATATGAAGATGTATACTATATTTCAGCTCTGAGAGGTATGCACTACCTTAATTTCAGTGAGGATGAGGTTAAAATATTCAAGTGACTTGTTCCACAGCTTGAACCTAGCTTTATCTGACTCCAGACCTTGAGTTTCTAATCAAGTTTAATTATATTACTTATATATCAACTCTTGTTTAACCACATGACCTTCTAATTTAGAAAGTGCTATTATTACCGTTTAGCATTATTGTACCTGCTTCAAGAATGAGAGAACAGAGACTCAAGCAGACTACTTCATTAAATGTCATATAGGTAATTAGCTAAATTATAGCATAGAAATTCCCAGAGTAGTGTTATCTCAACTACACCATTGGTTAATGAAGTTTATAATCTAGTTGAAAAAATAATATTATTCCACATGAACCTAGCCAATGAATTACAATTTCCCTGGGTTAAATATTTTCATAAAATGCTTTGAAATATTTTAAATAACCTCAATTGGATTGTAATTATATAATTTTTAAATTAATAATAATATAAAGCATACATTGATATGTGATCAATCCACAGGTGGAAGCCCTTCCGACCATCAACTAAAACTTTGTTAGCTGCCTTCACCATCAATTTCAGCTATCGTTTATTGAAAATATATAAATTGTAAGAAAAATGATCGTCTCATGTTCATTCCATTATGAGCAATGCAATGTTCATAAAGTCAATTTGCACCCTATCTATCTCTTCCCTATGCCATCTTCTAAAGAGATAGAAGGAAAAGTGGTCTTGCTATTTAGCTCTCAGTTCCATAATTAAGTCTCTACTCCTCTGACTATGGATCTTAAATTATATATTTTACTAAATGAACAGGAATTGCAAAATGCCTTCCTTGAGAACAGTCCAGATCTCATTAATATCAACTCATTTTCTCAATGACTTTGCTTATGTTCAGAATTTGTGTTTGTGTAAGTTCAAATTTTATACCAAGTGCTATCATTTTGGGATTACACTCTCCATTCTTTCTGATATAGCCATATGCCCTCACCTCCACACTATACTGTAGCAAAAAACTGTAGTTAAAATACACACAAATTTTACTATCTTAACCATTTTAAGGATATAGTTTAGTAGTTCTAAGTACATTTACATTGTTGTGCAACAAATCTCCAGAACTCTTTTCATCTTGCAAAACTAAAACTCTATACCCATTAAACAATAACTCTGCATTCTATTATTCTCCCAGTCCCTGATAATCAGTGTTCTACTTTATGTCTCTATGATTTTAGCTAAGTATTTCATTTATCTATATTGTATACAACAATTTCTTTTTGTGCCTTGCTTCTTTTAATTAGCATAATGTCCTCAAGATTCATCCATGTTGCAGCATATGTCAGGATTTCTTTTCTTTTTAAGACTAAACAATATTATATATATATATACACACACACTAAATGAACAAGGAATTGTAAAATATATATACACACCACATTTTGTTTATTCATTAATCATTAATGGACATTTGGGTAGCTTACACTTTTTGGCTATTGTGAATAATGTTGCTATGAACATTGATTGTACAAATGTGTCTCTGACATCCAACTTTCAATTATTTCAGGCATATACTCAGAAGAAGAATTGTAGGATCATATGGTAATTTTATTCTCAATTTTTGGAGAAACTGCCATAATATTTTTTATAATGGCTATACCATATTACATTCTCACCTTAGTGCACAAAGATTCCAATTTCTCCATATTCTCACCAAAACTTATTTGTGTGTTTTTGATTGTGATCATCCCAGTGGGTGCCTATTAGACAATTTTATACCCAATATCTCATTTATTATGACAAGAACTGTCTACTAAAATCTTTAGAGTTAATTGGTCATCTGCTTAATTTTAATATGGGGCAAATATATCACTAGTATATGGTAGAATATTTTGTTTTTTAAAGATTTACTTATTTATGCATACACGAACTGAGGTACAGGCCAGAGGTGTGTGTGGTGGGGGAGAGAGGATTCGCCAGAGACAGAGTGGGAAACAAAACAAGCAGATTGACTGAAATGCACTGCTGAGGGGAGCAGTGGGTGAGTCAGGAGAGGTCTGCTGTGCCATGTGGGACTCTCCCTAGCCGGGGATTGAACTCCTGCTGCAGTGGCTCAGGATAACTTCATAGGCTGTGTCTTAACCCCTTGCACCACTGAGGAGGCCCAAATATTTTAAACTTAATTTTCAATATTGTTTTAATAAACTTCATGAAAATTGGGTAGAGGAATACCATTAATCGTAGATATATTTGAAGAAAAAGAGTCTGAGAAACTTTTCACTGCAGAATCATATAAATTTTCCTTCCTGTAATCTTAATTTATTAGAACTGAAAAATGATGAGTCTATTTAAAATGTTCATAGGTTTTTGGAGGACTGTTTTCCTGTCACCTTCACTTGTCCAAGAAAAGGAAACTGAAGAACAGCACTGTGCAACAAATTAATAACAAAGGTAAATATATTTAATACAAATTATCTAAGGATTTTTGTTATTCTCTGTGAATATTTGGAAAAATTCAAGTCCGAACTTGTAGTATCAGGAATCTCTAAACCCATACAATATCCACATACAATGATTCTCTAGGATTAAATAAATTCTAGGACGAGCCACTGCATTCAACTTACAATAGTACTCAAAACTTTAATTAGACCAAAGACATAAAATTAGCAAAAGGAAATAGCAAGTGTAGGGAAATTTATCATAAACTAGATATAAATTTCTAAAAGTCCTCTCTGTGTGAAACTACACAAGACTCATTTCATTCATGCACCAATAAATTATGACATGTATGAAATGTTGTATACCAGAAAAAAATTATTAGATTCTCAGTGTCCAGGGTGGTTTTTTGAGAACAGAGTTATTGATATATAATTTACTTTTTAAGCCATACAACTCTGTGGTTTTAAGAATATGTACAGATATGTGTAACTACAACAATCAATTTTGAAACATTTTTATCACCATAAAATATATCCCTGTACCCCACAGTTATCAATCATCTAGCGCTCTCATTCCCCACAGTGATAAGCCATCTCTATGTATTTCCCAAATCTGGACATTTCATATGAATGAAATCATACATAGTTAACTCAATTAGCATAATGTTTTCATGGTTAATCCATATTATAGCATTTATTAATATTTCATTCAATTATAAAGATATATATATATATGTGTTCATTACACCTTTTGTGTACTGTGAATAGTGCTGTTACACTTGTGTACACTGACATATGTTTCCATTTTTCTTGGATATATACCTGGACATGGAATTGCTGGATCATATGCTAACTCCATATTTAATCACTTGAGGAACTGCCAAACCATTTTCCAAAGTGATTGCATAATTTTACATTCCCACCAGTGGTGTATAAGTATACTTATTTCTCCAAATCCTTGTTAGCAATGGTCATTCTCTGACTTTTTTATTTTGGCCAACCTAGAGGGTGTGAAATGTATTTCATTAATGATTTTGATTTATATTTTCCCAATGGCTAATGATATTGAGCATCCTTTATGGGTTTTGTAATCATTGAATAGGTTTTTTTGGACAAAAGTCTATTCAAATGTTCTTATATTTTTGTGGATTTCTTTATTATTGTTATTAGGGTACATTTTCTTTTATTCTTTATTTTTACTTTTGATTGAGGTAACATTGGTTTACATTGCATAGTGCTCCTTCCCCACCTTGTTCCTTCTCCTTCCTCTCCCCCTCGATAGCCTCAGTTCTATAGTCATCCTATGTAACTCCTCTGCCATATTTTTTATTGGGTTATTAGTTTCCTTTTGGTTGAATTGTATAAATTCTCTGTAGATATTTGATATTAGTCCCTTATACATATGCTGTGCAAATACTTCTCCCATTCAGAAAGGTGGCTTCTTGTTTCAGTGACAATTTCTTTCACTGTGCAGAAGCTTTTTAGTTTGATGTTGTCTTTTCTTTTCCTTGCTGCTGGACAAATTTCACAAAGCCATCTCTGAAGTTTATGTGATGGAATGTTTTCACTATATTTTCTTCTACATATTTTATGGTTTTATATCCACATGCAAGTCCATTTTGCCTTGATTTCTATATATGACCTGAGATAGTGATCTAGACTTTTTCTTTTGCATGTGGCTGTTCAGTTTATCCAGCACCACTTATTAAAGAGGTTTTCATTGCTATAATGTAACTTCTTGGCTTCTTTATTGTATATTAAATATACATGTATGCACAGGTTTATGTCTGGGCTCCCAATTCTATTCCATTTGATCTGTGTCTGTTATTGGTCCAGTAACATACTGTCTTGATTTTTACAGCTTTGTAGTATAGTTAGAAGTCTGAAAGTTTGATGTTGCTATTCTTTTTTTCAAGATTGTTTTAGCTATTTGAGGTCTTTGTGGTTCTATATGGATTTCTGTATTGTATGTTCCCTTTCTTTTATATTTTTTATTTTTTTTTTAAATGAAGTGCCTGTTTCTTACAACTGTTGATTTTTGACAGTATAGGATGTCTCCACTCAGGAGTGGTCACCATAGTTCTCCCATGACCAAAGCACCCATAGTCCATTAACAAGTCTCTTGTGCTCTTCATCCACTCCCTCATTTTTACCACTCCCATTCTCCCTCCACTTCCCCTCCTGGATGCGTCAGATCAATGGTTAGCTTTCAAAGTTTGTATTTGTCGGACCCTTTATTTGTTTTATATGTGAAATATATATTTCACATATATATAAGTGAAATATATAAGTGAAAACATATAAGTGAAAACATCCAGTATTTATCCTTTTGTATCCAACTTATTTCGCTTAGGATTGTACCTTCTAGCTTCATCCATGTTCCTGCAAATGTATGGGTTTATCTTTCTTTTAATCACTGAGTAGTATTCAATTATGTATATGTACCACGTCTTCTTGATCCATTCCTCTTTTGAATGGAAGTTGTTTCCACATCTTGGTTATTGTAAATAGAGCTGTAATATACATAAAAGAGCAGGTTTCCATTTGAATTAGTGTTTTTGTGTTCTTTGGGGAGATACCTAGGAGTGGAATTACTGGATCATATGACAGCTGCATATTTAGTCTTTTGAGAAAGAGCCACACTGCTTTCCACATGGACTGAACCAGTATAAATTCCCACTAAGTGTGTCAGAGGGCTTATTTTTCTCCACATCCTTGCCACCCCTTGTTATTTCTGGTTGTTTTGATATGGACCATTCTCATTGGTGTGAGGTGGTATCTCATTCTAGATTTGATATGCATTTTCCTGATAAGTGGTGAACGTTTTTTATATACCTATTAGCCATTTGCCCATTGTCTTGGAGGAGTCTTATTTCATTCATATGCACTTTTTTTGATTAAGTTGTTCATTTTAATTTACTTGTATGAGCTCTTTTTTTTTTTTTTTTTTTAAAATAGAGGCATGTTTTATTTATTTATTTATTTATTTGTTTGTTTGTTTGTTTTGTTTATACAAGCACTGGGTACAGTCAGAAGTGCGGGAGGGTGAGAGAATTCACCAGAGCCAGAGTGGGGAGCAGAGCAGGCAGAAGGACCGAAGTACACTGCTGAGGGGAGCAGCGGGCGGCAGGAGAGGTCTGCGCGCCATGTGGGACCCTCCTCTAGTGGCCGGGGAGCAGCCGGGGATCGAACTGGCGCTGCAGAGGCTGCGAGCAGCTTCGCAACCCAGCGCTCAACCGCTGCGCCACCGGGGAGGCCCCTGTATGAGCTCTTTATAGATCTTCAATATCAGTCTCTTCTCAGATGTATCGTGCACAAATAATTTCTCCCGTTCTGTGGGGGTGCCTCTTCATTTTGGTAACTGTCTCTTTTGCTGTATAGAAGCATTGTAGTTTAATGTAGTCCTTGTTTTAGTGTATGTATTTTGCTCCTTTGTCATATATTAGTTCTCCATATATGTGTAGTATTATATCTATTTATTGGACTGTGTGCCTGTTTTTATTCTAGTATCATGGTTGGAACATTGTTATTATCACTTTATAGTATAGTTTAAGGTCTGAAAGTATAATATCCCCCATATCCCCTGTTTTCAGTAAGGAGAGATTTGACTATTTGGTGTATTTTGTTATGCCACGTGAATTTCGACAATATTTGTTCTATTTATTTAAAGAATATTTGTTCTATTTCTTTGAAGAATGCCATTTCAAGTTTGACAGGGATTGCATGAGTCTGTATATTCCTTTGGATAAGATGCCCATATTGACAATCTATAAGTATGGGTATATCTTTCCATTTCTTTCTTTATTCCATGTCTTTTAAAAATGTCTCATACAAACCAAACAACGGGTCAGAAAAAGATAAAAATTGCAAGCTAGCCATAGACTCAAGGCATACATCAAGGGAGAGGGAGAGAGAAGCATCAAAACAGGGGAGGAAAGAGTACAAGGGACTATGGTGATGGATCACGGGTGTTATGGTGGTCTGGTGCTATGGGGGAAACTATAGGGACTACATCTAAGTGGAGAAATCAAGTACTGTACAAAAATGAATGATATAAATAAGTAAATTTAACAAATAAAAGATTTACGGTTATGTTTTAAGTTTACACATTATAGCTTCTCTAGTTACTGTCCCCCCACGCTAGAATTTTTGTTTTTATTTGCATGTTTTTTTTAAATATTGACTATATTATTTTAGCAATGTCTATTTTGCTCCCAGAATGTCAAGCCTCTGATAATGCTTCAAGGGGGCCAAACTTTGCATTGCACAATCACTCTGTGACAACATTGGTTTAGTCAAGGTTCTCTTTATCTGTTTCCCTAACCTTATCCAGCTGTTAATTTCCACTAAGTGACTGCTCTAATTGTTATCAACAGTGCCTTAAGGCATAAAATTCTCATACTTAGTCTTCTTTGAATGTAGAGGTCCAAAGTATTTGTTATTTATCTAACCATGGAGTGCTCTTAACAACTGTCAATTTCCCTGGTTGTCTCCTTAAGCTAGTGTGCCTGTTACAGTTTAGCCTTTATATTCCTTGATACTGCCAGTCTTCTCTAAGTTGCCATTCACCACAAATGAAAGCATCCTTAGACTTGAAATTCTCCAGACTCTTTTGAAAATGAAGACAGTCCTTTTGGGAAGAAAATAGGAGATCTGTTTTATGGATTGCTTTCCTCGCCCAGTCAAAATATCTGAGACAAAGCTTTGGTGTTGGGGGTAGGGACAACGGCATTCTTCTCTCTTTGTGACACCTCTTTTTTTAGGGCCTAGGTGTTTGGTGGAGGTGCAAAAATAGCCTCAAGTTTCTTAACTGGTTTCTCCTGGTGTGGAGCCAATGCCTTATCAGTTAGGATAAAGAAAATTGGGGTTCACGTATTCTCAGTAGTACCACACCCAAGTTAGAATCTCTATTCCAAAAGCAGAGATTAGCAGAAATGTTAGCATATGACAGGGGTACCAGGGATCCCAAAATGTTAAGAAGTGCACACTCTAAAAAGGATTCAATCATTCACA